TGTGAGATGGGCATCCATTGAAAATCAGAACATGGAATGTACAAAGTATGAATCTAGGAAAATTGAAAGTTGTCAAAAACGATAATGGAATGCATAAACTTTGATATCTTAGGCATTAGTGAGCTGAAATGGACTAGTATTGGCCAATTTGAATTTGACAAACACATGGTTTACTATAGCAGGAATGACAAACTAAAGAGGAGGGGTGTTGCATTCATTGTCAAAAAGAACATGCCCAGATCAGTCATGAGGTACAATGTAGTCTGTGATAGGATAATATCCATGTGACAACAGGGAAGCCCCATTAATACTACTATTATTCAAATTTACGCACCAATCACTAAAGCCAGTGAGGATGCAATAGAATTCTACCAACTTCTTCAATTTGAAATTGATCCAGTATGCAATCAAGATGTATTGATCATTAGTGGTGGTTGGAATGCAAAGGTTGGAAGCAAAGAGGAAGGATCAGTGTTTGGAAAATATGGCCTTGGTGATAGAAATGATGCTGGAAAGTGCATGGTAGAATTCTACAAAACCAATGATTTGTTCATTTCAAATAACTTCTTTAGACAGCATAAGAGACGACTATATCCATGGACCTCACCAGATGGAACACATAGAAATCAAATTGACTACATCTATGGAAAGAGACACAGGAAAAGCTCCATATCACCAGTGAAAACAAGGCCAGGACAGACTGTGTAACAGACTATCAATTATTCATATGCAAATTCAAACTGAAGCTGATGAATATGAAAACAAGTCCACGAGAACCAAAATATGACTTTGAATATATCCCACCTGAATTTAGAGGTCATATGAAGAAAAGATTTCATACATTAAACAGTAAAGACTGAAGACCAGAAGAGTAGTGGATGACATCAAGAACATCACACATGAAGAAAGCAAAAAGTCATTAAGAAGACAAGAAAGAAGGAAAAGGTCAAAATAGATGTCAGAAGAGACACTGAAACTTGCTGTCTAGTATAGAGATGCTAAAGGAAATGGAAGAAATGAGGAGGTCCAAGAGCTGAACAGAAAATTTCAAAGATTAGCTCGGGGAGATAAGGCCAAATATTACAACAAAGATCTGGAATCAGAAAAGCAAAAAGGAAGAAAATGCTCAGTATTTTTCAAGCTGCAGGAACTGAAGAATAAACTCAAGCCTCGACTTTCGTTATTGAAATATTCTGTGGGCAAATTATTGAATGATGCAAAAAGCATCAAGAGAAGATGGAAGGAATACACAGATTCACTGTATCAAAAGGAAATGGTTGATGTTCCACCATTTCAACAGGTAGCATATAATCAAGAGCCAAAGCTTCTGAAGGAGGAAGTCCAAGACGTATTGAAGGAATTGGCAAAGAACAAGGCACCTGGAATTGATGGAATAAAAATTGAAATCTTTCAAGAAAGTGAGGCGGCACAAGAGGCACTC